ATTTACTTGAGAGAGAGAGAGAGAGCAGGGGAAGGACTGAGAGAGACCATCCCAAGCAGGCTCTGCACAGTCAGCACAGAGCCTGATGCAGGGCTGGATCTCGTGAACCGTGAGATCACGACCTGAACTGAAACCAAGAGTCAGACGCTTCACCCACTGAGCCACCCGGGCGCCCCCAAACGCTATCTTTCACATGCATCGTAAAAGTGGGTGGTTCAGGCACCGGCCGGCGTTCGGCATCAGGACCTCAGGACCTCGCCCGGCTTCCTCCGTCGAGGCAAAGGGCGAACCGGCCTCCAGGGGAAGGAACTCTGCAGACCGACAAGACACTAACAAGAAGCCGCCAGACCGGTAAGTCACAGAAAGGCTGAAAAGATGCTCCGGTTCGTGAGTCGAGTGCAAGCGGTCGCCTTTCGGCTGCCAGATCGCCAAATGCTAATTGCCTATGGGATGATGGTGGTGATGGAGACGCATTTCATAGAATAAACACCGGTACGCGTCAGCCACCACGCCTGGGTCCCACGGCTCCCTCTGTCCCGAAGCAGGCGGGGCAAGGAGCTACTGGGAGCTCTTTATCGTGGATGAGGAAGCTGAGACTCAGAGAGGTTGAATCACTTGTCTGCGGCCCCACAGCCAGGGAGGGAGAGCTGGGCTGCTGGTGACAGCAGGTGGCCCGGCTCCAGATTCTTAACCCGTGCCCTGGAGCAGCGGTGCTCAAACGTCCCGGTCTCAGCATCCCCTTACGCTTTTTTTTTTAATATCTTATTTTTAAGCACTCTCTACGCTGGGTGTGGGGCTTGAACCTACAACCCCAGGATCAAGAGTCGCCAGCTCTCCTGACTGGGCCAGCCGGGCGCCCCACCGACCTCACACCCTTGGAGTTTACTGAGGACTCACTCCAGAGAGCTTTTGTGTCCAAAAAAGGGTTACTCTCCCTGATATTTACCATAGAAGTGATACAGTATCAGCTACTACGGCCCACGTTAACGCAGTTGCCGTATTAAAAGTGAGAAACCTTAACATTTATTAATTCACTTCCGGGGCACCTGGGTGGCTCAGTCGGTTAAGCGTCCGACTTCAGCTCAGATCGCGATCTCGCCATTCCGGAGTTCAAGCCCTGCGTCGGGCTCTGCGCTCAGAGCCTGCGGCCTGTTTCAGATTCTGTGTCTCCCTCCCGCTCTCG